GTACAAAGGCGCCAAATCCTACTATATATAAAAAATAGTGTTTGTGTGTGTGTGTGTGTGTGTGTGTGTGTGTGTGTGTGTGTGTGTGTGTGTGTGTGTGTGTGTGTGTGTGTGTGTGTGTGTGTGTGTGTGTGTGTGTGTGTGTGTGTGTGTGTGTGTGTGTGTGTGTGTGTGTGTGTGTGTGTGTGTGTGTGTGTGTGTGTGTGTGTGTGTGTGTGTGTGTGTGTGTGTGTGTGTGTGTGTGTGTGTGTGTGTGTGTGTGTGTGTGTGTGTGTGTGTGTGTGTGTGTGTGTGTGTGTGTGTGTGTGTGTGTGTGTGTGTGTGTGTGTGTGTGTGTGTGTGTGTGTGTGTGTGTGTGTGTGTGTGTGTGTGTGTGTGTGTGTGTGTGTGTGTGTGTGTGTGTGTGTGTGTGTGTGTGTGTGTGTGTGTGTGTGTGTGTGTGTGTGTGTGTGTGTGTGTGTGTGTGTGTGTGTGTGTGTGTGTGTGTGTGTGTGTGTGTGTGTGTGTGTGTGTGTGTGTGTGTGTGTGTGTGTGTGTGTGTGTGTGTGTGTGTGTGTGTGTGTGTGTGTGTGTGTGTGTGTGTGTGTGTGTGTGTGTGTGTGTGTGTGTGTGTGTGTGTGTGTGTGTGTGTGTGTGTGTGTGTGTGTGTGTGTGTGTGTGTGTGTGTGTGTGTGTGTGTGTGTGTGTGTGTGTGTGTGTGTGTGTGTGTGTGTGTGTGTGTGTGTGTGTGTGTGTGTGTGTGTGTGTGTGTGTGTGTGTGTGTGTGTGTGTGTGTGTGTGTGTGTGTGTGTGTGTGTGTGTGTGTGTGTGTGTGTGTGTGTGTGTGTGTGTGTGTGTGTGTGTGTGTGTGTGTGTGTGTGTGTGTGTGTGTGTGTGTGTGTGTGTGTGTGTGTGTGTGTGTGTGTGTGTGTGTGTGTGTGTGTGTGTGTGTGTGTGTGTGTGTGTGTGTGTGTGTGTGTGTGTGTGTGTGTGTGTGTGTGTGTGTGTGTGTGTGTGTGTGTGTGTGTGTGTGTGTGTGTGTGTGTGTGTGTGTGTGTGTGTGTGTGTGTGTGTGTGTGTGTGTGTGTGTGTGTGTGTGTGTGTGTGTGTGTGTGTGTGTGTGTGTGTGTGTGTGTGTGTGTGTGTGTGTGTGTGTGTGTGTGTGTGTGTGTGTGTGTGTGTGTGTGTGTGTGTGTGTGTGTGTGTGTGTGTGTGTGTGTGTGTGTGTGTGTGTGTGTGTGTGTGTGTGTGTGTGTGTGTGTGTGTGTGTGTGTGTGTGTGTGTGTGTGTGTGTGTGTGTGTGTGTGTGTGTGTGTGTGTGTGTGTGTGTGTGTGTGTGTGTGTGTGTGTGTGTGTGTGTGTGTGTGTGTGTGTGTGTGTGTGTGTGTGTGTGTGTGTGTGTGTGTAGTGTGTGTGTGTGTGTGCGCGCGCATTTGCATGCAACTTCCGTCCGTATGTTCCAGTCGTATCTCAATAAAGGAAGTAGTTAACGCTACGTATGATACGTCATTAGGTGCGTAATGGTCATGACACGACTGCACACCGGTCAGATTTTCAAAAATCAGCCGTTTTCGATATTAAAATTAGGTTTTTGTGAAAATTTCGTTCGGCCTCTTTGTTAGGAATCAATTAGCATACGCCGGAAGTGAGGTTGGCCTATATAAAAGGTGGAAAGAGCCGCACCTCCCATTTTTTGTTCATGGTATGCGAGTGGAATTATGCAAAGTATAAACTTTCATAGGACCCAGACGGGGCCCGGGAAAAGTCGCGTAGCGGCTTTTCAACCCTGGTGGAATTTAAAATATTCACAGAAACTTTCAGCCCCTAGCTACAGTATTCTTGAGTTATTGCAGAAATAAACTTTATTTTATGTTTTTATCCTGTTTTTCGCCAGAATTGAGCCTTGAAATGTATGAGAAAAATGAAGTGCCGAGCCCTTTTTACCCTAGCAAATCTTTTATTTTGCAAAAGTCGGCTTGGAAATAAGCTATTTAAGTGATTTTAACCAGATACTTGTAACCCCGGTGTTCAGAAGAATGAGGGATTTAGAGCCGGAAATTTATGTAATTTGATGCAAAGTGAAAAAATCGCCGAAAAAGGAAGCAAAAAGGTTGAAAAACAGTTTTTTTTAAATAATTCAAAAGCTACTGTAGCTACTAGGCTGAAAGTTTCTGTGAACCTTTTAAATTGCTTTGGCACCTCTGTTCAAAAACCTCAAAAACTTCAATTTTTTCTTTTTCTAGAGTTGTAAAGCAAAAAAATCTTGATTAGAAGCCTATATTTTTGAATGACTGAACGTGGGAGCCGAGCTAGTGACTTCTGGATCGAGAGACCAGTTATTTAGCCACTATACTACTTGACAGGCGGAGCGGCTTCTTTGGCAGGCCCTTTGCGGAAATAGTTCGGGAACACTACCACTAGACCTCCCGTTCCCCCCTCTTTCCCCCTTTGCCCCCTTTTACCCCCCAAAACGCCCCCCTCCCCAGCCCCCTCTTTCCCCCTCCGCGCCCCCCTTTTTCCCCCTCCCCAGCCCCCCAAAGTCCCCCAAAAAACCCCCCATTTTCCCCCTCCCAACCCCCCTAGACGAAAAACGGGGCCCATAAAGTTTCGAAAACGAATTTTCGGCAACTCGCGAATACGAATTTCGGCAACAAGCGAAGACCCACCTTCGGCCACATGCTACTTTTCGGCAACTCCACCAACACCAATTTTCGGCAACTTTTCATGGAAAACAAAATATAAAACCTTGGGATTACGCGGTTTCTAGGCGTATTTGCTCAAAATCAAACAAAATAGATAAAGTAAATGCTAGTAGACGAAGATTGGCTATTCGCAATGTCTATATTTCCTTTAATTCGACGTTTTTCCCTTCGTCTGTGGATTTCCGGTGATTGATCAAGATATCATGATTTTTGACGGGTTTTCTGTTTGTTTTCTGTTTGTTCTTTGTTGTTTTCTGTTTTTATAATATTGGGAAGCATCAAAGCTGGTAACAAATCCTATCTGAGTTAAGAAAACACAACCATATAGCATATTCTGTGAACTTCACTAACACACCTATCTATATTTTGGCTAATAACCGCTTGAATGGGTTGTTACTGTATTCTCTTCCATTCCCCAAACCGTTTCATTATTATATTTAAGTAGAAAAACACTAAATTCATAAAGAAAACTTCATTTTACCATGGTGGCTAGGAAAACCAGGTCGGCCAGGCAAAAAGGGTCGAATTAAACGAAATATCGCCAACCGGTGATGCGAATCTTCATCTACTACCTTTTACTTTATCTATATTATTTAATTTCAGCAAAAAAAACCGCTGAAAACTACGTATTTTTAACATTTTCTAAACCTAAACTTTTTCTACACCTAAACTATGGCGAGAAAACAGTTGTCTGCTGTCGAGATCTATCTGTAACCTTCAAATATGCATTTTTGCCGCTAATAGAAAGCTAAAAAACAGGTATAACAAATTTAATTTAGTTTTTCATCTCGCAAAAACCCCCCAAAAAGTCCCCCTTTACCCCCCAAAAAACCCCCCTTTTTCCCCCTCCCCAGCCCCCCTTTTTCCCCCTCCCCAGCCCCCCTCTTTCCCCCTCCCCAGCCCCCCTCTTTCCCCCTCCAACCCCCCTGTTTAGGGGGAAAGAGGGGGGGGAAACGGGAAGTCTAACTACCACTATTTATTTTAGGAAAGTTGAATACCAAAGGAAACTTGGTTCTTTCGGATTTCCGGGGGGTCAATTTTTGTCCTACGGTCCCGGTCGACCTAGTAATAAAATGTAAAGCGTTTTCATATTGTTTCCAGTAAGTTTTAACTATATTTAAAGTAGAAAAACTTTCAAAAAAAGTTAGGAAAATCCTTGAAAAAGTCGAAAATTTGGTCATTTTGGATCGTCCGCCGCTAATCCTAAAGGTTCTATAGGATTATTCGACCTAACATGAAGTTTTTTAATTGAAATGGGTGTAGTTTTTATGCTCAGGAATAGTAAAAAAAAACATATTATAAACGCATCCGCTATTTATAAAAAAAGATTTAGGCTTGTGCCGAAAAAAATTTGGTCCCCCCCGCGGAAATCCTAAAGAACTGGAAACTTCAGAATGGCCAGCCGGAACCCGAAAAATCAATCAAATCGTGTTGGAGTCGTTGCCTTCTGGGATCAATCGCATAAATCCACCCGTTTCTTTTGCCGTCTATCCGAAACTGGTTCGAAGATCAGCCATCTATCATCGTCTTCGCAGTCCAAATGGTCATGTATTGATTCTGATTTCTATCTACATGTGAATACTTTCGAGATTGCTGACCTGGATCATGTCGAAATTCCGAATAATGATCGTGATGATGACATCATGCAATTTATATTTCATGACTGAATAAAGTCATTTTGATTGCTAAACTTTTCGTTATTTGGCAGCTACACAAAGCTTTTTGCTACTCAAATAGGTTCATTTTTGATGCTCTATCGAATGCCATGTTCTACTTATTGAAAAAAACAGTGAAAATCTCAAAAACCAATTTTCAGTTGTCATTTTACGAAATTTCAAACACATTTCCAAAGTTTATTTTGTGTTTGCTATGACTTTTTTAACTATGTCGAGCCGTAATTAAAGTTTTTTTTGAAACGCGTTCTTCTTTTCTTTGGCCTTTCTTTTTTTGTCGTTTTTCTTGACAATTTTTCAGCTATTTGCAAGGCAAGCTAGCAGAATTTCTTTGCGGAACCAAGGTCACGTTTTTTAAACAGCAGGCAAGCGAGCAGAAATCATTTACGATTTTTTTTTGTAAATATTTATAGTGAATTTTTGCGTTAGGGTGTCTTACAAATCATTTTCAGTGATAACTGTATTTTTATTTGTCGATAGAAAAGGGGACCCATTTTGGATGTAATATTCATGGATGAGAAGGAGAGTGTGGAGGACCTAACCGGGACCATATTCAGTGGGCAAAATACAGTATACAAACAGAGAAATGGGGCAAGAGGAATCGGAAAACGCAAAAAGATGGAAAAGAGAGAAAAAGCTTTTTTTACTCTTCCTCCTCCTCATCCTCGCCCTCCTCCTCGTCGCCTTCTGAAATACGGAAAATTTTATGGTGATGGGGCGATTGACATTGAATAACGAATCTAATTTATAGAAGCTTCCACAAATCCTGTTTTTTACATTGCAAAATTTAAAAAAGGTTTATGTTTTTCCCAACGTCCAAAGTTTTTGCAAAAATAGTTTTAGAATAGCATGCCCGTTAGTAAACCGTTTTTGCTGAAAATAAAAATGCCGTTCATGGAATTTAGAATCTATGCGCTTTTGAAATGTATAAAAATTGAGGTAACCGGTTTTAAGTTAGCGATTTAAAACTAAACTCTCGAATTTATCAATTTTATAAAGTCGCAAAATCTCTGCCAATTTGGTCAAAGAATTTTTTTAAATTTTGAGCTAAAGATGGCGTCTTTCCTTCAAATGAAATGAATTATTTTTGCTTTTTATTGATGCAATCCATACCAAAAAAGCTAGCTATCGGACGTTGAAAGCAGGTATAGTTTTGACGGCTCGACTAAAAAAAAATCCCACCTTCCTCTTCGGCGGCCGGCACGGCAGCGGCTTCCGGTTCGGGTTCGGGCTCAGGCTCGGCCGGGGCCTGAAATTCGGGTTGCAAATTGATTTGAATTGGAACAACGTAAAGTAAAAGTTAGCACAATACCTCCTTCTTCTCCTCCTTCTTCTCTTCCTTCTTGTGCTCTCCCTTCGACCAGTCTGGCTTATCGTCCTTCTTCACCTTCTGCAAAAAACAAAGTCAGTTAAGTAACGATATATCCATAGTTTTACGCTGAAAAGGCCAGAAGATGAATATTAACAGCACCGAAAAGTCCAAAAATCGATCCCTCCAATCCACTAGGTCTTGACAACTGCGCGATGTTCCAGATATTACGTTAAATTACTCAAACGACTGATTAAAGTCCTTTCCGATGCGTCATTTAAGCAACCGGTAGTTGTCTAGACCTAGCCAAAAAGGGGTAGATTTTCTTAATTCGAGGTGCCTCTAGAGCTGAATCCAAAATACGTCTAGACTCTTACGCGAAGATTCAAATGACATCACACCGCTCCAAAATGCAACGCTAAGATGCGGATAAACGTGTCATTTGGCGCCTCGCGTACTTGTCTAGGCCTAGTCGCTGGAACCGAGTCGATGCCAGCCCTTTCCGGTTCCGTTAAATTGCCAAACTGCGTACCTTCTCCATGATTTCCTCGACATTCTCCTTCTTGACGACCTTGAGGTTGGACCTGAAGTCCTGTTTCTCAGTTCCCTCCTTGGCTTGGCCGAGCTTCTTGAATTTGTTGTCGAACTTCGACACCTTCTTCAGGGTGGGCTTCACGCTAAAAGATGCGAAACTTGGTGTAATTGATCTGAGTATGGCAAAAAATTGTTTTCTTTTTTGGGAAATGAAAATCTGACCGTATTGAATCGAATTAAAATAAACGAATATAAAATAACCGTAAATTTCCTAATTTTATAACCCTGTTATAGCAATTTAAGTACCATTTCTAGAATATTTAACGTACTATTTTCCGCGGAGATCGTTGACCTCAATGGTGAGGGTGTTAATGGTGGTGTCGGACTCCTTGACCAGCTGCAGAACATCGTACTTCGAGTCCTCCAGGGCGCGCACCTGAAAATATGGCTTTTCAGAGCAGTTATAGCGAGCCCGGGATAGGGAGACAGCGGGAGAGAGAGAGAGAACGAGAGAGAGGGAGAGAGAGAGAGAGAGAGAGAGAGAGAGAGAGGGAGAGAGGGAAAGAGAGAATAAGCAGAAGCATGCCTTGGCGAAAAGGTCGTTGTAGATGGACTCGAGCTTGCCGTGATCTTCGATCGAATCGATATCGGGAAGGGCTGGGCACCGAGAGGCGAGTGCCTAGACGGAATGATTTAACGCGCTTTATTATGCCGTAATTTTTTAAATACTGGCTTGCGAAAAGCGTTTTTGGAACGTTTAGTATTGCTTATGCCAGTCAGCTCCAAAAAATTACCAAATCGCTAATCATTTCTTTCAAAAAAAATCCTTACCGACTGCCGTTCGCGTTCCTTATTGAGCTGCTGCTGCTTGAGATCCTCGGCGGCCTTCATCATCAACAGTTTCTAAATGGTCTTGCGTTATATCTATTAATGCATATCCACATACCCGGAGCTTCTTCTTCCTTTCCGGGGTGAGGAAACCCTTCTTCGCCTTCTTGCCGGCCTTTCCGGACTCCTCGAGGCGCTTGCGCACCTGAAACATATGGAAATTGTTTGATTTTACGGTTTAAATTTTTTGATTTTTGGAATTTAATTTAACACTAAAATTATGCTAATTTTTTTAATCGGTGACGGTTTGGCTAAAGGACAATAATTTTTGTTGCATACCTCGGCCTTCTTCCTCTCCATCTCCTCCTTTTTGACGTTGAGCCTCTTCGTCAGCCATTTTGAATGGTGTGGGAAGGTCCGGCTACCCTGCATTAAAATGTCTTAATAACCGGTGACATTGAAAAAACGCTGACAAATAAAATCTGAAGACAATCTGACGACGTGGAACGAAACCGTAGGTCAAAAAACAAAGTAATAGAAAAGAAATGGATCAACAGCGAGCAACTGAGTTTGAGGTCCGGTCCATTCGACGAAGGCTAGGAAGGGCAAACGAATTTTTAAATCCAATTGATTTAATAGCTATAGAGGTGGAAGTGCAGATCACGCTAGACTACGAGGGTTTCAGATGGAAATATTCTGGATAATCTGGGTGGCCCCTGCGCTATTTCTAAGCAAAAATGACAGCAGAAACCAGTGACCAAACACAAAGATCAATAAATAGCGCCGCAAACGTTGGCACTTTGTCTCAAAAAAACCTGGAAAACGGAAAATAAACTCGAACGACTCGGGGGAATTTGGCGAATCGATTCTGTGTGAGCCAAAACACGGAAATTTAGGTTAGAAAAGCAGTGGATTTTGCATAGATTACCGGTGCGACGATCTCGATATCAACAACTACAGACGGCATCTTAAAATCTGCCAGAAAAAATTCTGGAGAACTACGGTAATTCGGTCACTCAATAGTCTAAACCTCAAAAACTCAAATTTAATTCCAGAATTAAAAAATTCGAATTCTTGTGGGATTACTGTAGGTAGGCGGAGTCAGAACTGGGAGTGTAACTCGAGAAGGGCGGAAACAATATTGACAAAATAGTGAAAGGGGAGATCTTCTCGCCCCAGTGGAGGGGATAAGGCTCTCAAGTTGATGCTCAAAAGGGGAGGAGGGGGTTGGGGAGGAAGAGAGTAATATTCTCTCCACATCTCTGGGTTTCTCTCTAGGTCGTGCTCTCTCGGGAATGTGCCCTGTGGGTATGTTGTAAAGGGGGAGGGGAGGAGGAGCTTTTGAAGAGAGAGAGAGAGAGAGAGAGAGAGAGAGAGTGAGAGAGATATTGGCCTGGCCCTCCAATCTGTTGGGTCTCCACTGGGTCGAGAGGAGCAAGAGGTTGGCTGGTTGGTGGGAACGGGGGCCAATGTGGCTCCAGTTAACATTGGGTGAGGGGGCTGTAAAGTTACCACTGTAGAGGGGGATTGGCTCGCAAATGGTCTCTGCTAGCTGCCCTGTTCATCAGGTGACAGCATCCGTTCCTCCAGGATCCGTTGCTCGCTTGCCAAAAGCTTCAAATCGGGCAGTGAGCTCGAAAAATTCGTAAAAACAATAATTTCCCTCCCACGAGCGATCGATCGGGCTTCCTAAATGGTCTCTGCTGGCATGCCCTGAACTGAGAGTTTTCACAAAGAATTACTGCTAGCCTGCCTTGGACTTTAGTAAGACGATGACACCGATTTCGTTAAGCGCTTTTTTGGGCCCAATGACGTCTGAATCGATTCTCAAATGGTCACTGCTGACCTGCCTGCAAAACCTCGCCTTTAATTGTAAGATCAATTTTCCCAATTCCCCAGCCGTCTCTGCTAGCTTGCCTAGTCACCAAAAAACTTATCGTTACTGAATCAGTCCGACACTTTCCACGAATCTTTCCTAACCCACCGACGCTACCGTCCGATATAGGGTAGGCCCCAAATGGTCTCTGCTAGCTTGGATGCCATCGATCCGTCAAAAATTGTCCAAAATTCCGGTACCTCCAGGACCCGCAAAATCAATGGCTACCATTAGCGGGCTCCGCCCGCTAACCCCGACTACCAGTAGCACAATTTTGGGTGGAGGTTGAGGTATTGGGCCGGGAGGAGAAGCTTCAAAGTATTGGCATGAGAACAGTTGGTGCTCCATCTCGTCTTCCCTCCAATGGAGACCCTCCACCAATCATCATCTTTTTCTTCCCCCACCTAACAGCAGCAAAAGAGACAACCCAATAGCTGAGGCTCCTCGGGGACCAAAACTCCCCAAAGAATCTGCCAACAAACAGACAGATCATGGAAAAACTGGTTCCCACCCCACAGCGGAAACACCCACGCTTTCCGGTTCCACTATCCGGAAATTCATCACATTTTTCTTAAAGAATCTCTGTTAGTCTGCTTCCGACCTATGGTATCCGGTCCTAAATAATCCTCGCTAGCTAGCCTTTCCTTATTGTCACGCCGCTTGACCAAAAATCGCAAAAATCGGATTCTGGAGAAACTCGACTTGATCTCCCAATTTTTGAGGCGTTTTCATGACCTAAAGAAGACTCAAATTGTTTCAAACCGTCCGAAGGAACTTACGCCAGTTTCACCTATAATTGGCAAAGGGAGGGCAATGGAATCCGGGATTTTGTTCAGAAACCCAGCCTTAAAAATCCCTGCTGGCTGCCCCGGAAACATAAGCTATTTTAGCGACGCATAGCTTTGCGATGCTTCCCAAACTCTCGCTGCTCGCCTGCCAGCCAATCCATTCGGTTCTCGGATTGTGGAAAAAGCCCCGAAACAATTTTTGCTACCTTAAGGCACTTGCATTTTTTGGATACCTCCTCGGCACACTTCTTCTAAAAACCGGGTACGTCCAGTGTAGCGTTACTAGGAAACAACGACAATTTTTCAAGTCTGAGAATGGCGCGGAAACTGGGAGGCGTGCGGCCAGACAGGAAACATCGAAAATTCAAAAACCACGCACAATTCAACCGCAGATGTTATTTTTTACATCATCAATCCTGAGCCTCACCACCGCCACCATAACCCTCATTCGAAAAACGCCAGATGCCGAAATACCAAGCCCCGAATGTCTTCTGAATTGTTTGGAAGCGAATTGCACAAGGATCAGTTGGGGTAATTTTTTTTCATAACTACTGACCGTAGATGTCTGGTGATTCTTAAAGGGGCTCAGAAGTCAAAATTCGCGCGTGCGCGGATTGAACCTACTCGTCAAAGATCAGAAAATTGATTACGTTGCGAGCAAAATATTTGGGAAAAACAGAAATGTTTCGAGGTATAAACGACTTTTTGAGTGGGGGGCGATTAAATGTCGTAATGCCTCGTAAGACACGCTTTGGTTACCGGGCGGTAACCGTCCGCGGGATAGCAAACAGGGCTACTGTAGGCGCTCGCCGCGGAGCAAATCCGAACCCGAGCGCTCACCTGGGGCTCGCGCCACAGATCAATAGGCCAAGGGAGAGACAGGAGGGGGAGGGGGAGGAAGGCTATAAAGGGTTGGGCCGGGCGGAAGCAGAGAACCCGAATTCCAGGCCCGAGCGGAAACTTTTGAACGAGATTTTAGTATCCCTTTAAGGTACCACGGATTGCTCTTTTGATGAAGAAACCCCCGACTATCAAATTTCGACAGGTGATACAGTATCCGATATCGATGCGGGATCTTGCATAAGCTATTACGACAACGGTAAAATGGTTTCTGAATTTCATCAAAAATCCGATTATAGTGGCGCCAGTTTGGACTTTTAACAATACGGATTACTTCAAGCTTACCGATTGCTCCCTTCCACAGGTTTTTGTGCTTGTTTTTCATTTTTTATTTCACAAGCGTTTTAGGAGTGCCTCGATCAGTGTGCGATCATGGGGTTACCGCCAATTTCCGTGCATTCCGACGCCGAAAATAATTTTCTGATTGGTGGGCTTCACTTAGACACATAAAAAACTACACAAAAAAATAATTCGGCGGTAGATATTTTTGCTGAAATTCCCTTGGAAACATTTTTAAAAAATGAAGGCTATCGGATCCCCAAAAAAAACTCGTACTACAAATTAGTTGAAAGCCCCGGAAAAGGTTTTTTTCAGAACAGACGAACGATGTGGTGGACTGCGGTTCGGGATATACAAGTAGAGTGTGGCTGGGATTCTCGTGGAAAGGAGACAATGTCAGCTATTGGAGGTCAGTAGGGCAGATTGCTGGCTACGCAAACGCGACGTGGCTGAGCACAGAACTCTTCGCGAAGGGCGCCTCGCACCTCGCACCACGGAAAATGTGTGGAAAGTATTCCATTGCACAATGTTTTTTACGTCGCCTCTTAAAGGCGCTCAGAAATCTGGTCCCCGCCACCCTGCGTTGATTCCTGGCAAATAGACAGATGCGACCGCATCGCGACCGCGTCACATGATCTTTTTCCCCTGTTTGAACGTGAAAACGCTTAAATTTAACAATTCCGGCGCTGTTTCTGGAATCCTCATCGCGGCTTGATCACTTGAGATTTTTAATTATGAAAATTGATCAGAAAATCGCCGAGATCGAGAGATTGGGTGCCCCACAAGGCATCGCGACAGGTAATGCAGCGATATTTGCCAAAAATGTAATCACCGCGCACTCAAAAAGTCGATTTCGCTCCGAAAAAATTTCGGTTATGGATTATGGATTATGGATTTTGATAGATTATAGGCGATCTCGACACGCAACTTGCAACGGCAAGTAGGTAATTGGGCAACGGTAGATTTTTAAAACGACAAATTTGCCGCGATCCAGCTTGGCCGCCAGAAAACGAGCCGTAATAGATTCGGCGATGAAAGGGCGCAGCGTCCCGCAGTATCTACAAAAACTATCGCAAATTAAAGGCCATTTCTTGCTGGTCCCTTCAAAGAAAACATTACGCGTTTTTAGAGATGGTTCTCCCTGGGATTATACAACCCAATTGGACAGTCGAGCCGCAACGGACCCATTAACCTTCACTTTCGGCGGCGTGGACGAGCTTTGCGCCGAGTTTACGGTATTTATGCGTGTAAAATGAAATGAATGCCAAAAATGCCAAAAATGAAAAGGCAGGCATATGTAAAACGAATGTTGATTTTAGACAGAAGGTATTTGGAATGACATCGACTGTTACAATCTGGCTGTGAAGGCTCAATGTGTTTGTATTAGAAGATTGGCCAATTATGGACAAGGCAGTGAATAGAAAAATTCCACTGGGAATGAATAATGTTAATAAATGGTTTTCATCGGTTTCATCGGTAATAAATACTTTCAAGTTCACCAAATGCAATCAATTTTGAAAAGCTCGACTTAGGTTCACTATGCTAATTCCATGTTCGTTTCTTCCATAAACAAACCAATTTCTCGGATT